GTTGGGGGTGGGAGGGACGGGGTGGCTGGGTGATAGACATTGGGGAGGGTATGTGCTATGGTGAGCACTGTGAATTGTGCAAGACTGTTGAGTCGCAGTTCTGTACTTCTGCGACAAATAATGCAACATATGTTAAGAAAAAAGAAAATAGCAGGAGGGGAAGAATGAGGGGGAGTAAGTCAGAGGGAGAGACGAACCATGAGAGACGATGGACTCTGAAAAACAAACTGAGGGTTCTAGAGGGGAGGGCGTGGGGGGATGGGTTAGCCTGGTGATGGGTATTAAAGAGGGCACGTTCTGCATGGAGCACTGGGTGTTATGCACAAACAATGAATCATGGAACACTGCATCAAAAACTAATGATGTAATGTATGGTGATTAACATAACATAATAAAATAAAATTTAAAAAAAAGAATCTTTGCATCAATGTTCATGAGCAATCATAGTCAGGAGTTTACTTAATGTTTTTGTCTGGTTTGCGTACCAAGTACTGCTGGCCTCCAGTGAGTGGGGAAGTAATCCCTCCTCTTCAGTGTTCTGAAATTTGTGTAGAATTTGTATTATTCCTTATTCAGGTATTGGGTAGAATCTGCCCCAGAAGCCACTGGAGCCTATGGTTTTCTCTGCCGGGATTTTAATGCATCTTCACTATCTTTAGTGTGTAACCATGTGTCTTTAATAGACATGGGGCTGCTACGTAACCCGTGTCTTCTGGAGTGATCTTCTGGGAGTTTGCCATTCAAGGAATGTGCCCGCCATGCCCACGTGGTTGGATTTAATGGCATGACATCATTTAGACTCTCCTGTTATTATCCCAATAACATCTTAATTTACCTCTGGTTCCTCGCAGTGTGTCTTGTTTTTAACCCTGACTAGAGGCTTATTAATTTTATTGACCTCTTCAAAGAACCAGCTTTTGCTTTCATTGGGTTTCTCCTGTTACCTGTGTTTCTGTTTTGTTGATTTCCACTCTGACATTCAACCGTTTTTTTTTTTTTTCTTCTGCTCACAGCAAGTTTCATTTGCTCCCCTGTTAAGAATTTCTTAAGGTGAAAGCTAAGGTCATGGATCTGTGCCTTTTTCAACTCAAGTATCAGTGTTTAGTGCAATAACTGTCCCTTTTGGAAAACATTATGCCACAAATTCCCTCAAAGACCTGCCATAATGCATCTCACAAACCCTGATATGCTGTTTCCATTCTCATTCAGTTCAAAATACTAATTTCCCTTTTGATTCAGTGGTTTTGACTCATGGGTAGAAGTGTGTTATTTAGTCTCCAAATTCTTGGGTATTTTGCTGAGACTTTCCTCTTACTGGCTTCCAATTTTTCATTCCATGTTGTTAAAGAACATATTTTGTGTGAAGTCCTTTTAAATTTACTAAGACTTGTCTTATGGCCAGAATATGGTATTTCTTGGTAAATGTTTGCATGTACTTGAAGAGAATGTGTATTCTACTCCGGTTGGTTAGAGTGTTCTAGAAGCCTCTGTTGACTCAGCCTGGATGGTAATCTGCTCTATATCTTCACTGAGTACCTGTCCACTTGTTCTGCCAGTTACTGAGAAGGGGTGTTAATCTGACTGTGGGGTTTTGTACTTCTCCTTGTACATTTATCAGATTTGCTTCATGTATTTTGATGGTCTCTTATTAGGTATATGAAGGTTTGTAATTGTTAAGACCTCTTGATAAATTAATTCCCCTTAGAATTATGAAATGATGCTCTTCATCCTGGTTTCTTTGCTACAGTCTACTGTCATATAAATACGGTCAACCCAGCTCCCTTTTCATTAGTGTTAGCATGGTAAATCTTTGTCCATCCTTTTGCTTTTAACTAATTCATGACTTTATATTGAAAGTGAGTTTCCCAAGAAGGTAATGTAGAGCATGGTAACTATCTTTAAATACTACTATGCTATACATTTGGAAGTTGCTAAGACAGTAGATCCTAAAAGTTCTCATCATGAGAAAAAGTATTGGTAGCTATGTGTGGTGATGAATAATAGACACTTTGTGGTCACTTCACAGTATCTACAGCATATCAAATCATTATGTTGGACACCTGAAACTAATATAATGTATGTCAATTGTAGCTCAGTTTCTAAGTAAATGAAGTGGGTTTCCTATAGGCGAATACAAGATTGCACGGTTTGACAATCTTTACCTTTTTATTGAGTGTTTCTACCATTTACATGTAATGTGATTATTAGTAGGGTTAGACTTAAATCTACTCTCTCGACATCTGCTCTCTATTTGTCCCATCTGTTCTTTTTCCCCTTTTTCCTCTTTTTCTGCTTTCTAGAGATTATTTCTAGTGATCCTATTTTACCTCCATTATTTGCTTATCGGTTACCTGTCTGTAAGTGGCTGTGTTAGAGTATGTGGTGTACATCTAGAAGGTGTCACCATCTGCCTTCAAGTGACACTCCATCACTTAGGGTGTAGTGTAAAACCTCGTTAGCAGTATACTCCATTTCAGCCTTGCTGGCCTTTATGCAACTGACACGGTACATTTTACCTGTGCCTGTGTGATTAACCCTCACATTACAGGGCACCTGGTGGCTCAGTCGGATAAGCAGCCAACTCTTGGTTTCAGCTCAGGTCATGGTCTCGGGGTCCTGGGATCGAGCCCTGTGTGGGGCTCTGTGCTCGGTGGGGAGTCTGCTTTCAGATTTCTCCCCTCTCCCTCTGCTCCTCCTCCACCCCCCTCACCCTTCTCTCTCTCTAAATTAAATAAATAAAGCTTTAAAAATAAATAAATAAACCTCACATTACATCAGTATTAATTTTGCTTTAAACAATCAATTGTGTTACAAAGAGATTAAATGGTAAGAAAAATATGTACCCATATAGTTACCTTGTCTGGTATCCTTGTTCCTTGTATAGACCCAGATTTCACCTGGTGTCACTGTCCTGCATTTCTTATAGTGGAATCTCCAGGTAACTAATTCTTCTGGCCTTTGTATGCCCAAACATGTCTTTATTTTGCCTCTGTTTTGGGGGGCTATTTTTTTCTAACTATAGAATTCCAAAATGTCAATTTGGGATTTTGTTTTCTGTCCAGTTCTTTAAAAATGCTGCTCTGTCTTCTCACTTACATTGTTTCAGATGCAAAATCCACTGCCCTTCTTATCTGTGCTTCTCTGGACACCGAACGTCTCTCCCCACCCTCCAGCTGCTTTTAAGACTTTATTCTGGATCACTGGTTTTTAAGAAATGTGATTATAGCCTGCTTTCTGTAATTTTCTTCATGTCTCTTGTGTTTGGAGCTCATTGAAATTCTTGGGTTTGTGGGTGTGTAGTCTTTCATCAATTTGGAAGTATTTGAGCCCATGTTTCCATTTGTCTCCATACCTCCTTTCCTTCAGACTCCAGGTGTACCTATATCAGGACACTGAAGTTATCCCACAGATCACTGGTGCTCTGCTGATTTTATTCAGTTTTTGTACTGTTCCCCTTTGGATATTTTCTATTTCTGCATCTTCCTATTCACTAATCTTCTGTCATGTCTCATCTGCCATTAATCCCCTCCAAAGTATTTTTTTATAGAACTGTTTTCATCTCTAGAGATCAATATTCCATGCCATGTTCAATCTTTCCTCTAGCTTCCTGACATATGGAACATAGTTACAGTAAGTGTGAGAATATCTTTTACTACTAATCTTAAAAGCTGTGCCATTTTCTGGATTGGTTTTTGAATCGATATTTCCTTTCATTATGGGTCACATTTTTTGGCTTCTTTGCATGCCTTATAATTTCTTATTGGTTGCCAAGCATTGTCTGTTTTACACTGTTGATTGTTGAATATTTTTGTATTCCTTTAAATATTCTCGAGCTTTGTTCTGGGATGTATTAAGCTATTTGGAAACAATTTAATCCCTTCAGGTCTTGATTTTAAGTTTTTAGGCAAGACTAGACCAACTTGTAAGTCTAAGTCCCATTCTGCACCATTTCTGAGGCAAAAGCCTTTACCTAAAATGCCCGTGAATTATGAAGTTTTCATTCTGACTTGTGGGAACATGAACTATTCTCAGCCACATGTGTGCTCTGAGATGCATTTTCTCTAACCCTCTGGGAGTTCCCACCATGCCCCACACTAGTACTCAGATAAAGACACAAAGAATGAACCTCTGCAGACCTACGAAGTTCTCTCTCTGCGACTCCCTCCAGGACCCCACCCTGCACACCCCAGTTGACTCTGCTCCTCTGACCCCCAAGTCCACACCCTGAACTCAGGGAGGATGCTGGGCTCCACCTGGGTCACCCTCCCAGGCCACAGCTTTCAAACTCTCGCTGGCAGTAAGCTGGAGTATTTGAGGGGTTCACCTCCCTTCTTGTCCATGTCAGAGATCCTGTTTGTTATTGCCTGAAGTTCAATGTCTTAAAAACCACTGTTTTATCTATTCTGTCCTGTCTTTTTTACTTGTTTCCGGTGTGTGTGTGGAGGGTGGGAGAAGTCCACTCTTCTCATCATGTATAAATAAATACTCTTTACTTAAGCCATTTTGATGTAGATATTCTGTCATGTGTGTAATAGAAAAATATACATTGACAAATACAACCATCCACAATGCATTGTTTCATTCCACTTTCTCAAAGTGTCTTAAATTTTGTCAAGTGAAACTGTGCATGGGCTACCCAGAATCTTCTTTAAATGCCAATAACTCTAGTAGGAGCAAAGAGCTACCAACTTGTCTCAAGTTAATACAAATTTTTTCTAACGGCTTTTCACCCAGTCGCTGAGATTAGCCGGACTAAAAATGGAAATTTTAGTTGGGGGAAGGACAGAAAAAGTTAGAAATCTGGAGAGGAAACAGAGCGCGGTTTGGTAGAATAACACACCTGGATGGGAAGAGGCAGGAGCTATGTCCCAGGTGAGAATATTAGCGAGAAATACTCAAAGAGCCAGGAAGATGCCAAAGCATTACGAGCAATCATATAAAAATGGCCACTTTGTAGGTCAAAGTGTAAAATATCTAATTTCATACAGTTCCACAAAATACTTTTTCCCCCACATTTTTCAGTGAGCTGATTGGCCCACTTCAAAACCTCGCTGCCAGGATGAAGAACGCTGCATGGAACAGGTTAGCCACCTCCCCCACAGTCCTGACTCTGTCAAGAAGACAGAAGAACTCCCACGGAGCCTGCGGCAACACCACAGAAGCGTGGCCAACACAGTGAGCCAGCCGCTCAAAAACCGTCCAAGCAAGTGGAATGGAAGATGGAAAGACCCCAAGAGGGAGACAAGCCGGGTGTGTTCACCAAATGCGTAGAGTGATATTGTGCCCGGAGCAAGATCATTCCGGGTAGCCGCACACGGAAGAGTCAAGGTAAGAAGTTTATCTTACTCCAAACGACATCAGACGTCATCGAGAGTGATGGAGTGTCCCACGGTTTGCCCTCCTCTTTTCAAAGATAACTCTAGGGACGCCTGCGTGGCTCAGTTGGTGAAGCGTCTGCCTTCGGCTCGGGTCATGATCCCGGGGCCCTGGGATCGAGTCCCGCATCGGGCTCCCTGCTCAGCGGGGAGCCTGCTTCTCCCTCTGCCTGCTGCTCCCCCTGCGTGTGCTCTCTCTGCCAAACAAATAAATAAAATCTTAAAATAAATGACTCTAGAACGTGGTCAAATAAGACATCTGTGGACTAACCAGGAGCTCAGTCTCCTACTTTCTTACTTCCCTATTTCCACATAACTTTGCACATAAAGTTGTCAACATGAGACTTCATTTTAGAAACACAAGTCTGTTCCTAAGTTGAAGAATAATTCTCTTAGCTTAAATAAAGAGAAAAAAAAGAGAAACCCCCACTTTACTGGAATATATTGCTATTTAATGACCCATCAAAAAAGAGGTCTAGCTTGACCACAGGTTTTTAAAAGATGAGAGAGGGGCGCCTGGGTGGCTCAGTCGGTTGAGCGTCTGACTCTTGGTCTCGGCTTAGGTCTTGAGTTCAGACCCCACGTTGGACTCCACACTGCACGTGGAGCTCACTTAAAAGATGAGAGGGAGTGTGTCAAAGGTTTTTGCAGAGAGTCTGAGAGCTGCAGAGAAGAGCATGAGCTATACCACCGAGGAGATAACCCCTCAATTTCCTTCTTTCTGCCCTTTCCGGGAGGGCAACAGCATATTCCTGTGCTGCCCTCGCAAACCAGTATCATGGGGATGTCTCTCTCTGCTTTGGAAAGACCAACCACCAACGCCTTTTCTTCTCTAAAAACACTTCCAGTTCAGATCTTTCCTTCCCACCTCAGGTGTCCTCATCACTCAAGACCCTGACAAAAATCTTTTATGCCTCCAGTATAAGGCTGAAGTCAGTAGACCAATTCCTTACATAATTCTTGACTATAGAAAATATAGAAAGATGTGCATTTCATTTTAAGAAGACAGCACAACCTTTTCTGACATTTAAAACTGTACCCTATGTCAGCCCGTCTGCGTGCTTCCCGTACCTCTCCTCCTGCAATCCTCAAAGCAGACCCGGGAGCTCAGTATTGCACATGGTCTCATCTACCGGGTGGGGCAGGTAACAGGAAGAGAGCAAGTGGTCCGGGGCGCCCATCTGGCGGGGGCGGGGGAGCGGTGGTTACAGTTCAAGCCTAGCAGTCTGCTCCCAAAGCCCAGCACCACCACCTGGTGATGGTAATGCAAAGCCAGAAACCCATTGCTCAATCTCCCTTCTGAGCACAGAAGACACAAAAATTAACAGAGGACGTAGAAATGCTATGACCAAGCAGGGCTCATTCCAGAAATTCAGCAAATGATTGACATAATGTCAACATCAAAAAGTTACATCAAACAATGGAAGAAAAACCAAATTATTATGAGTAGAGGCTGAAAAGGCACTGTCAAAATTACTAACCATTTCTAGTAAAAGCTCTATACATAAAAATCTTAAATATGTTCAAAATTACTTGCCAAAGAAGGAGTAAGAATAAAATAAACTTAGAACAGTAAACACTAATGCTTTTTCCACTGAAATCAAGACATTGATACCCATAATTGCCACTGTTGTCCAAATTTATTAGTGTTTCCAGCAGATCCAAAAATAGAAAATAAAAAAAATCAATATAAATATTAGAAACATAATACAGTCTCTTTTTGCTAAATGTGGTTGAGTACACAGAAATGGCAAAAGATGTGTCAAATGAGTGTGTTAAAGCAGTGGGGGGAAAATTGTTTTTTCTGTATGTTACCCATAACCAACTAAAAGGTAAAATGGAGAAAAACATTCCATTTGTCTAAAGGGATACGCATGAAGAAAGTTAAAAGTAGAAGATGAATTTTAAAGTGTGTCTCATTGGAGGATGAGGAAAAAGGACAGCTTTTTTGCAAACGGAAGAATGTAGCGAGGAATGAAGAGGAGAGTGAGCAGTGCGGGCGGGGGGGCGGGGCCGGCGGGGGCGGCGGGGGGGCGGCGGGGGGGCGGGGGCGGGGGGCGGCGGGGGAGGTCAAAGGGCACACACTCCCCACGCCCCGGGGTCGGGAGAGTAAGTCCTGGGCATGTGACAGCAGTTAACAATGCACTGTGTCCTTGAAAGTTGCTGAGAGGGTAGATCCTGGATGTTGTCACCATAGAAACAACAACAAATGGTAACCACGTGGGGTGACTACGCCCCGTTTCACAACATACCCACCCGTCCAGTCGTCGCGCTGGACACCTCAAACTTAGGCAGTGTGGCGTATCAGTTATAGCCCAGTAAAGCTGGGGGGGTGAAGCAAAACACACCATTTGGGAGCTATTTAAAAATCTATCCTGAATATTGAAAGAGCACATAAAATAAAATTTCACATTACATAGTAAGTGACACTTTGACACAGAAGTAGTGCAAATAAGCAAAGCATTAGATAAAAGTATGTGGTCTAACATAACTTATTAACAAATAAGAATTAATGTGTTTAAATGTTTAAGGCTGAAATTAAAGAAATTAGAAAAGGGTCCCAACAGTTCCAAGTAAAGAAGAAAGGAACTAATAAAGAGGGGAGGGGGGGTATTAAGAGACATAAAAAAATGTGAGCGCGGTCTTTAAAATCCAAGAACCTCTATTTTTCAACCTAAGAACAGTAAGAGAATGTTCAAATGTAAAATAAATGATAAAGGAGAATTAATTGCAGAAAGAAAATTAAATTGGAGAGAACAATTTGCTTAAATGTATGGAAATAAAGCAGATCTCAGTGAAGTATTTATTTTCCAAAGGAAATGTAATTCAACAAAATGGCTTTGCTGAGCAGTGACTACGGCTCAGGCGACTAGGACTTTCCAGCATGATCCAAGGCGACGGAATTCTTCTCCACGGCAGGGGCAAATGCAAATTTGAGCAGCCTCTTTGCAAGACAGTTGGGTGGTTGCTGACAAAACTAACAAACCTTAGGGGCGCCTGAGTGGCTCAGTCGTTAAGCGTCTGCCTTCAGCTCAGGTCAGGATCCCAGGGTCCTGGGATCGAGCCCCACATCGGGCTCCCCGCTCAGCGGGAAGCCTGCTTCTCCCTCTGCCCCTCCCCCTGCTTGTGTTCCCTCTCTCGCTGTGTCTCTCTCTGTCCAATAAATAAATAAAATCTCAAGAAAACAAACAACAACAACAATAAAATCACATACCTTAGTACAGGATCCAGCAATTGTGCTCCCTGTTATTTACAACAAAGGAGTTGCAACTTTGGTCCACAGAAAACCGGCACATGGATGTTTATAGCAGATTTATTAGTAATTGCCAAAACTTGGAAGCAACTAAGTTGCCTTTCAGTGGCGCATGGATACGCAAACTGTGGTCCATCCAGACAGTGGAATAGCATTCAGCACTAAAAAAGAAAAAAACGAAAAAAAGCTGTCAAACCATGAAAAGACACGAGGAACAGGAGAGATGCCAAGTGCTAAGTGACAAAAGCCAGTCTGAAGAGGCTGCCCACGTACGATCCCAACGGTAAGTGAGGAGTGGTTCGTTCGTAAGAGAAACGCAAATTAAAACCACACTGAATTACCACTTTCCACTGATCTTAATGGCAAAATTACAGAAGTTGAATAACACACGTTGTTATCGGAGCCATGGGAAAACGGGAGCTCTCCCACCTGGCCAGGGGATCCGTCAACTGTGCATCAGCTATGGGGTACAGAAGACCAGCAAGGAACAACTATCAATTCATCTGGGACCCAATGACCCAGGCTAGCAATGTCCTGCAGGTAGATCTGCACACACACAAAATGACACATGTCCAAGCAATGTCTGTTATAGTAAAATAGCAAACAACCCAACTATCCCCACGTGGCTGTGATGCTATGCAATTATTTAAAGAGAGAGAAATCTCAATTAACGAAATGAAAAGATCTGCAGGCTACGCTGCAAAAAGCAAAATGCATAATGTCTAAATCAGCTAACTTTCATGTTTCTTAAATGGTAGTAAAATAGTCTATAAACAAGCATGGCAGGATACGTAAGAAACTAATAAAGGCCATTACCTACTGGGGAGAGGCCGGAGCTGCACGGAGGGGGTGACTTTTCACCAGTCTGCCTTGGAGTGCTCCTTCATTTTGGGGCCAGATGAATGTATTATGCATGCTCTGTTCAAATAATTAAAGGTATTAAAAACTCATTAAATTTGTATACATGCACACGATATGATAAAATGGAGAACGCTAAGGAGCGACGACCGACCAGTTTGTTGCCATTGGTTACCTGGGTCGGAAGGGGATGGAAGGAAAATAAAACAATAAAATTGAAAAGCGCACAGGTAAGGATGGGAACCACGAGGTCATGCACGGTGCTTTTCTCATAGCGTATGATTGATTGTAGATGGCCTTCGTATTTGTATATATCGTCCAGATATTTTTTAAAACTAACACCTACTGCGCTGTGTAACCAAAACATGGTTATTTTCATTTTTAAGAAAATTCTCAGCAAGTCAAAAATACCATTTATTTCTCAAAGAGAAAACCAAACGGATTTTATATCTTAAAAAGAAACCAGGCTTCGTTAGGAAAAAAATGTACCAGAAAATCAGAATCATGAGTATCCTCTTTTTAAAAGGGATTTTTTTTCTTATTGAAAACAGCTTAATATGTTTTTAGGTGGAAATAACAAGTTTCAATTCAGTTGTATTTTTTACTCACCCTGTACTTTTTTACTCTTAAAAACTTCTTGACACTCAAGGGGAGAAAAATAGAACCCTCCTATTTTAGAGAGATAAGGAAATGTGCAGGGCCATCAGGCCTGAGATACAGTTTCAGGGCTGATGAAACATTATTCGCATAATTATATGGTCGTGAAATAATGTCATCTGGGAGCATCAGCGGCTAATAAACGTATTTGTTACTTGTCGACACTAGATGGCGCTAGACAGGGTTCTTTATACTAAACTGTATGAACCGTTATCTTGTACTAACTTCACTAGTCTCCATAATAGAAAGTTTTAAATTTTATCATCGAAAATGGCTGTGAATGATCCAAAGGAAAGTTTGCTGAGTGCTTCCTTAAGACCATTAAAGCCCCAAGTCACAT